CAGTGTCCAAAGCAGTTGCTGTTGCCTCAGGAGCTGCTGGGACTCCCATCACTATAGGCACAGGAGGTACTGCTGTGCGCCAGGTTCCTGTCAGCACCACGGTAGTATCCACATCCCAGGCAGTAAGTAATGCTGAGGTTTTTCTGGAGTTGGCAGAGAAAAGGGAGTGGTGGTTTATTACTGATGGCTTATCTCTAAAAACCTCTTACATCTGCAGAAGGTCAAATTAAGTAGTGTAGAATGTGAGTCCACAACTGATTCTGTGGTGTTGGAATTGCAGCTAAGTATTGAATGGCCAGAATACAGTTAGCTGTGTGTCTTCCAAAAACTCCTTTTGAGACACTGAGTGAAATAAATTGGGTTTATCTGAAGTCCTCACCACTAGATGCAGTTCAGCATCTTGCCTCATGCTTCTGAAACCACCTTTTTTGGAATAGTGTCCCAAGCAGAAGTGCTCTTTACTTGTATAAACATTTTTACCAAGTTACCAGTTTATTGGTTTAATAGCTATTACCAGTGGTTTTAATGCCCAAAGCTGAATGCAATGTAAACTGTATTGTGAAAGTTGAGTAAGTTAATTGACATTACCATAGTTTCATAAGGATAAAAATGATGGTCAAATGCAATGCTCCTTCACAGAGAAATATTGTGGTGCAAAGATGAAAGGGATTTGCAGGATTGGGGCAGCTGTGAAGTGAATCAGTTGGAGGTGAATTTCAATTAGACTGCAGATCACATCAGCAACACTGCTTTGGTTTCTATTCCCAGGATGCTGAAAAGCAAGCTGGATGGCAACTGCCTGTTGTCAAGCAGTTTCTCTGCTGCATTCCCTGTGGCTTCTCATGTATTTTCAACTTCTCTAGGGTAAACTACCAGCCCGAATAACAGTGCCTCTGTCAGTGATCAGCCAGCCAGTGAAAGGCAAGAGCGTGGTGACTGCCCCCATCATCAAGGGCAACCTGGGGGCCAAGTGAGTACCTTCCACCTAGTAGTTTTGTTTAGAAATAGACTGAGGAGGTTCTCTGTGCAGTTAGGTTCCTGGGGATCTAGCAAGCAGAGGATGGTAGAGATTTGAAGTCTGTTGAAAGGACCACTAACAGCAAGAAACTGAATGTGGAGCCTGGCAAAGAATGCAGTTCTTGTTTAGGTGCACTGAGATGTGGATTCTAACAATACAGGGAAGAAAATAATAATATTTGCTTTTAAGCCAACTATAATAGTTTAGTTTATAATAGATTAGTTCTTTGTTTGAGCAAGAATTAACCTGGTGACATACCTAAAATTGTTTGTAATCTGAGGGCATCTCTCTGTCAGAGAAACTAGTGCAGTGTTAACTGCCTCAGTGCAAATCCCTGTGGCGTTCAGGTATTGTTGTCTTTCTGTTTATTCTTCCACGAATTCTGGTAGTATCTCCCTTGGTTCATATTTCAAGGCAGAACATTGTGTGCTCAGCTATTCTCTGCATTCCCTGGGAAGTGTTCAGGTCTGATCAGACTAGCCCAGCAACAAACACGGTCCAGAGTTAGAGGGTTTAGTCCATGTGATAAAGTAATTCTCCCTAACCGTGAGAAACGTTGACATAAACTTTTCACTTGTGTATTTGCCATTGTTGTGAAACAAAAATAATTAAAACCATTAGTAAATTAGCTAAGTCATTTAATCTCCTAGCAACTGAAAAACAATTCATAAAAGACATAGCCTGCTGTACTGTTTATTAACCTTTCAACAATTCTCTTTCCTTAGCATCAGTGGGTTGGGCAGAAATATCATCCTGACTACGATGCCAGCAGGGACAAAACTGATTGCTGGGAACAAACCAGTGAGTTTTCTGACTGCACAGCAACTGCAGCAGCTGCAGCAGCAAGGCCAAGCCACACAGGTAATGGCATGAAGAATGATTCCCTCATTTGCTTTGTGATGACTGAACATCTGCATGAGGACATCTGACAGATACATGGGCTTCCATGAGAAGTGCAGGTGCTCAGCTTGTCTGTATTGAGCACATGCACTGCATCGTTTCCTTTTCCTTCCTTACATCCAGTTATGGTTTTTAAATGTTTTTGAAGTACTGATGGTATAATGAATGGAAAACCAGGAGTCCTGTCATTTCTGGTTGTCTGAAGGATTGTTTCTGTACCCTGACTTCCTATTGCTTTGCTCCTTGGCTTTTGCACGCCTGCATTTCTTGAAGAAATCACACTGTTTCTTTGCGTAACCATTTTGATGTCTGGAAACTTAGTGTTCAGTTTCAGAAAAGTAACCTTCCTTGAGAGCTGCTAATAATAAGTCTTGAGAAGCGAAGCATCCAATGGAGTGAAGTTCTTCCTCAGAAAACTTGTCATAGCAGCTGATATGTCACTTTTTATTCACACTAGGTTTTAGTTCTTCCTGTCTGATCTTGAGATCTCTTGCCACCCTCCCACATGAGTAGTGGATGCAGCGATCTTCTTGTGCCACATTCTGTTTCTGATATGTTTTGGTGTTTGATCTTGTTCACCTAACTGAAATTTTGTCAGCTGCAGAAGCAATCATTTACAGTGTGATGCAGGTGCTGTGTGGCACCAGGTTGTTCTTGACACGAGTTGAATTTTTTTGTTTCCATTTCAAACAGGTGCGAATTCAAACAGTTCCAGCCTCCCATCTGCAGCAGGGAACGGTGTCTGGCTCAACTAAAGCAGTTTCCACTGTCGTCGTGACAACAGCTCCATCTCCAAAACAGTCCCAAGATCAGCTATGAGTACTGGTCTGAAAACCGATGGCTTTCCTGAATCTGTTGTCATCTTCCAAGGTCACCCAGCCACAGTCATGGCGAGGGACTGGACTGGATTCTGTCACGTGCAGCACATGTTACTTGTCCTGCAGTCAGCGTGTGCTGTCGAGGTAGAAATGCCACATCAGAAGATGCTGTACCTCTAAAACAAATGGTTTCAGTCCAGATCTGTAAAGCTAAATTCTGTGGCATTCAGCATTTAAGAGATGTTTTTCTTTCCCATGTTCTCTTCCCATCTGAAGTTCTTTTTACCAAAGGCCATCTGTCATTTCTGTCCATTTTGGTTTATAGACAAAGCAGTTGATCTTGGGTCTTCTTAACCAGGGTATCTTGCTCAGAAGAGACAACTTGTTGGCTTTTCAAAGTCACGAAGAAGGTGCAGCACTTTGGTGGAGTCTAGCTGTCACTGATTTTATGTAGGTGACTTAGGATCATGGCATGAACACCAGATGTTGTTTGTAACATAGCCTGGAAGTAGATCCCTAAAACATTCAATGTACTATTTATGTATAGACTTTTCAAATACCTCTTCCCTATCTCTGAGCTCCAACTTCTTGTTGAATGATACCATTCCATGTCAAATTTCTGTCAAGGCAGTATAAGAGCCCCTGGTCAGGATGATTCTTGATACAAAAAGAGAGACAAAGGAGATACAAACAAGTCAGAGAGATAAAAATGACAAGAAGTCACTGTGAGTCTGTCAACAAATAAGAATATGATGGAAAGTAAAGCATTCACCAGAAGCATTCTCCTTTATTTTTCCTCAACAAATCTTTGTGTCAGTCAGAAAGGACTAGTTTATTTTAAAAGTTGGGAATATGTTTTCAAATATACCCCAACTTCAGTCTCTTGGGCGTGGAAGAAGTATTTTAGCCAGTGATTCGGTTTGGCCTTCAGTTTGGTTTTTATCTTTGGAATTTTAACCCTTTACAAATTTGAGTTTTGCACATATTGGAGAAGAATTCCTTGCTGTCCTGATGTGACCCTGAAGCTTTTCCAGAACAAGGTCACAAGGAGTGTTGAGCTAGAAGAATAAGAATACAGAAAGCCTTACAAATCCCTTTGCCGTCTCCTTTCAGTTTTGTACAGATTGTTGTTTTGTGTACATGATTGTTTAGCTTGCCAAGGGCTAATAGATTGTCCATCTTCCTTTGTGAGATGGTTCCTTCTAACATGGTTCCTCTTGTCTTTTTTTAAAACCTGGTTTGCTCTGAGTTACACACAATTGAATCGAATGTATTACAGAGCCAAGTCTCATCTCTCAGTGCTCTTGAACTCCATGGCAGAAGCCTCAGCTGAAGCTGTGTGTTGCTGTTCAGACTGGCTGCACCTGAGCAGAGCAAACTGTTCTGCTGAGCTTCAGTCAGGTATGTCAGTCTTTCTGTGCAGCAGCTAACCTGCTGTGTGAGTTGGAGGAAATGGGTGTTCATATAAAAAAACTGGCTAGCTGCAAGTATTAAACAATCAGGACACACCAACACACAGAGCAGCTCTTGGATGTGCCACAAGAACAGAACTGGGAGTGATAACAGCTTTCTGAGCACCTGTCCTGCTTTGTCAATTTGTGTACCTCTTGTATGAAGTCTGTCAAACAAGTGGACAGGCACAGGGCTGTGGTCTGGGGGGTGCATGAAGACATTCTGAAGTCCTTCTACAAGCGCTTTTAGTTGTGAAGTTAAACATTAGAAGTGGAAGAGATGACAACTTTCTTCTATTGCTTACATGAAAGTCTCTCTAAATTCAAAGCATAATCAAGATGATTGTGCTCTGTTGGTTCTATTTGTAAGGTTCTTCAGTGTCAAAACTTGCAATCAGGTGCTGAAGGATGATTACAGTGTGAAGCACCTTTAATTTCCGAGAATCCTCTTGCAAGCAGCTGTTTGAATTTGTCTCTGGAACATAAGGCACTGAAAGCATTTGGTTTCACAAAACTGAAAAACGTGCATCTAATTGCACGAGTTCAGTGTGTCTCTGAGGCTGTTGCTGCTGAGTTTCAGGAGTCTGACTCCTCAGATCATCACCGTCTCCTTTCTTCCATAACCAGCTTTGCTAAACTGCTTGTCCACGTGAGCTACCTTTACATGCATGGCTGCTTGACTGAAGACCATTCTTGCTGCTTTTGAAGCCTGTGATCTCTGGGGAAGGAGCACCAGCTACTGTGTGGGTTTCTTACGTTAAAGAGCTGCATTCTGAATGGAATAGCACACCAATTTCAAGAGCAAAGTATGCCCTGTTCCATGGTTCAGCTTCACCCGTCTGATGCGTTGATTCCACTCTGGTTGAAAAATAACCCTTCAGCTTCTGCAAGTAAAGAGCAGTCGGTTTTATAAGTAACCTATAATCTCTTAGCAATGTGCTGAAAGGCAGAGAGGGGTTCAAGTTAGTTTTTCCTTATGCATGCTAGGGCTGGATGAGGGTATATTTAAGCTAGGCTGTTTTCCATGTGTTTGCTCCTTTGTCCCCTTGCACTGGGAACTAAACACTCTTCCTGTGAGTACCACAGGGCTGTGCACAGGAGCAGGAGTGAAAGGCCGAGAGAAAGCAGTGTGCTGACATTATCTGTTTTCCAGCTGTTTGTCCTGCAGGGCCTGAAACTGAAAGGATTTTTGTTCTGATGCATCCCGGCCATTATCTCTTGTAATTAAAAAATGGGATTACAGCCTGTTTTCATCACAGCGAGTTCCTCACGAGTGTTATGTAAGAGCCTTTATTGTTTCTTAAAAGCTGTGGGATAGGTATTTATTTCTACTGAGAGAATATCATGTAATCACTGCTTATAAGAACTGAGTCCTACACAAACTGCCTCAGGCCATTTAAACACACTAACCTTTATTTTAACAACTGCTTCATTTCATTCAAATCGTGGGGAAAAATCTCTATTTATACCTCAGTGAGATGTTCTCATAACCTAATGATCTCTCCTTGGGGTTACTTGGAGTGTTCCTTTTTCAAAGCAAACTAACTGAACAGCAGTCTGCCTCTTTTTAACAGTTGTTCTTCATTTCTCAGTTGTTAGGTAAGTTCAGAAACCTTATTGCTTGCTTTTCATACGGCAAAAGTGAACCACAGACAGCAGAACAAAGTAGAATTAGACTCAGCTTTGGAACCTGGTCCAGCATGGCCTGGATTTGGCAGCTGGTGCCTGACCTCAGGACCCTTCTGGCTGAGTACTATTCACAGTGCACTGTGTGGTGGCAGTCTGGCATTCAGACTTTTCCCCTGCAGCCTTAAACACAGCTTGTTACAGAGCAGACAGAGCTGCAGGGGAAGCTGATGGAGACTGCCTCAAACAGAGATGTGTTCTAATGCTGTAGTTCTAATGCTGTAGTTGCTGGGCACTGATGAGCTTAGTTCCCTCTGTAACTTAGTTATTATTATTAGGTTAGATGTGTTGTAAATCCAATAGCATCTATAATGCTACACTGGTCATTCGGTGGTAGCAAAGTACATCCAAGTGCAGCAGTGGGAATTAACATTTTGCCACCAGCAGAGTGGTTAAACATTAACGCTGTCTTCTGACTTTGTCTTTAATAACCCAGAGAAGTACTATGCTTACATGTTCAGTTTGCATTGTGAGCTGCTCCTTGGAGTCTTGGTTCAGTTGCTTGTGCAGCAGTGCAGTAACCTGTGAGCTGGACAGCTGGCGTGTGCTGGAACTTGGCATCTTCTGTTTACCTTGTGTTTCCAGCTCCACTGAGCTACTGACCTCATTTGATAAAAACTTCAGGGTGGCATTGCTGTATCAAGTGATACAGCAAGTGCAGCTTGTGAATTCAAACTTAGTATGGTTGTTTAATGGAAGTTTTGTGAATGTGTGTTGAAATGCAGGGTCATTTTGGCAAGCTGCTTCCTCCCACTGTGCCTCTCAGTGTCCAGTCCTGCTGTCATCCAGTAAGTGTTGGGATAGCTGGGTATAACAAGGAATAGAATAATTGTATACCAGCAAAAGCAGATTGTAATCATTATCAGAAGTGTAGTGTGGGTTAACAGTGCACTTTGTAGTTTTGAGCCTGGGCTTCATTGGCATTCTGGCATTTTGTATCGGTTCTGTGTATCTCCCAAGCTTTGTACAGATTGCTGCTGGGAGGTATGGAAGAAATGTGGCATCTGTTTGCAGAAGGGAAATGGTGGCATCCAATGGTTGGCTGAATTTGTCTTAACTTGTGCACTGAATTTCTAGATACAGAAATCTGAATTACTCACCACTGGTACCTCCAGAGGCAAATGCATCTGACCACCCCCAGATTCTTGTAGGATGAATTGCTCTCTGGATATTGCCATTTTTTTCCATGGACTGTAAAGATAATCATGGATGACTAGCTCAAATTTGAGCTTTTAGACATTCAGTTTAGAGATGATGCATCCTATGTAAAGTGACCCATCCAGGAGTATGAGGGAAGCTTCTGGAACAAAGTATTGAACTCAGAGCATTCCGGCTCCATTTAGTTTTATTCTTAAATTACTGTCAGTAAAAACTGTCAGTTAAAGTTTTAGAGTTTTAATTTTTCTCAAAACAGTGTAAACATTTTGCCTTGAAAATGATCTGATGTTGGCTTTCCCTCAAGTCTGGCAGAATTCCTATCTGTGAACGGAGATGGAGCACTGCAATCCTCATCCATGTTTTAGGGGAGTCCTGATTTCTTTTCAGTTGTAAACTCTATCAGCAATTTCCAGTTTGAGCATGGATTGATCTTGTACACAGCGTCCTGCACTGAGGACTAATAGGTAAAAGTGAAAGGTAAGGTAAAAGTTCTAAGAACCAATTTGTTCGCTTCCACTGAGAAGTCTCCACCAAACTAACAAGCCTTACACCTGTCAAGTTACTTTTTCTCACTGTCCTCCAGTTTGCAAGACCTGGGGCAAAGTAATTCACCTTCCAGAGCAAAGATCCTTGACAGAGAATCGTGCAGGTCTTTAATAGCCCCAGGACCAGCTGGGTTTGCATCCGCACTTACAGCACAAGGTATCACCAAATGCAGGAGGGGGCAGACCTGCTGACGGTCACACTGCTGTGCTGATGAAGATAAAGAGCCAACCAGGACCTGGAAACAAGCACCTGAAAAGATGCTGGCGTTGTTTGAAACTGGGTAAGTGCCTTCAGTGCTTTGATGCATGATTCTGAATGAATTGTCAGCAATGGGACGATGTTTGCCCGTGGGGAAGCAGTGGTTAGTTGGCATTTCTGAGACAGATGGAAACACTACATACAAAAATAAGCTTGATTACTTAAAGTATTGTGCTGAGGACTTTTTGACTGCTTAAGCAAGCTGCCTGAAGGCCTACGCTGAGAACTGTTTTCTTCCCTGTTTCCTGGTGCCCTCAATTACACAGCGAAAATCTGAGTATGGGCAGAGAGTGAAAAGTCACTGCCACTTTATGAACTGCTGGCCTCTCTTTGCACTGCCTGGTGTAAGGAGATAACTTCTGTTTTCATAGCTGGGGTGGAATGAGTGTGTGTAGTTTAAATGACAGGCAGTAGGTTGGTAAGCTGTTGCACTGTGATTTGCTTTTAACATTTTCATTTTGCTCCTGTAATGAAAAAGCATTTCCCATGTAGGTTGTCATGTAGTAGCCTATGAAGCTGTCTTAAAGCTGGTGAAAAGCAGAGAGAGATGGTTGTCTTTGCTGTCAGTTTTATTGTCACAGTGTCAAATGTGGTCATACAGGATGCTGTTAACTAAAATCATAACTGAGCTGTTGTTCCAAATGTGCTGGAGGACAGCTGGCAGGCAGGAACACGTTAATATGCAAAGCTTAGGACTCCCTAAAAAGTCCTAGGAGCTACATGGCCACAAATCCAGCACCTTATTTCTCTGAAAGGCAACAGGAAGGCCTGGTCTGTAAATTTAGTGGTACCAGAGAGAAAAAGACCACAGTCAGAGGGGTGAGTCCTGCACCTTCTGCGTCCTCCATGGAGAGAGCTGTAAATACAGGCAGCAAGGAGCAATGTTCATCAGCTTCACCCAGCTGTTCTCCTTCCTGCAGTGATGCAGAGTCCCACAGGAACAAAGCACACAGCCCAAAATCTTGACCAGAGGTGCACAGAGCCACCAAGGGAAGGGAAGAGCAGCTCTGCAGCCTATGGTAGGCCAGGCTTTTACAGTTGGTCTCTTCTGAAACAAATCTATGTATTTGATTGGTTGTCTGAACTCTGCAAATACCTGCCAAATCTTTCTGTAGCTAGAAGGCAGCTATACCTACTTAAAGCTTATAGGGTGTATAAACAGGCTGGCCAGAACTCCAGTACATTTGAGATCTCCATCTCTCTGATTTCAGTCTGCTTAGCAGCAGTGCTTCCTGCACTGGCTGGAACATGCAGAAGTACTAGCAGGAAAAGAAAGGCCATTTCAGGCCTCATCTCTCCAATGTCAAGGCCATTTTTTTCTGCATGATTCCTGTGACACAGTTAGCATGATCAAAAAGGAAGCTACTGATAGGTTCTGACACATGCCAGGAGCCAGGGCATCCTTGATATGCTGTCTTCTGTCATGGTTGTTTAAGGTCACTTGGCTGCTTTTCCCTAAAATTTACAGCATGTTTTTGAATTACAACACACTATGAAGTCCTAAGAAAAGTCTCTTCTCTGTGACCTGCAGGACAGTTACGTTGTTGGAGTGAAGGTTCAGCTTAGGAATCTGCACCAATAAAGCTGCACATCACAATTCAGTTTGGGTGTCCAGCAGACAGCAGAGCTGCACCAAGAAATCTGTGGAAGATTTGGGTCAGCTTCCCTCTGGGTGGGAGGCAGTGCTGAGCAAATTGGCTTCACCAAAGCCCTGGGTGTTTGTTAAGCAGAGGATTCACAACAAAACATCCGCCTCTCCTGATTCAGTGCAGTGCAGAAGGAGAATAATTGCCTGTATTCATTGCCTGCTCAAGTTTTGTAATTGCTACAGTGCAGTCAAAAATACATGTTAGTGTAGCTGAATCACACCCTCTGGTGCAGGGAAGGGACAGCTCTGAAAAGTGAAACAGAGATTTACAGGAATGATCCAAGCTACTGATCAGTAGCTAAAGTAAGTCTAAAGGAAGCTGTCCCACAGAAGGATCACCTGCATCATATATATTTTTATATATATATGCACTCACAGAGAGAGAAAAGATATATATAATGAAGCTACTCCTAAGGATACATACCTCCAAACTAGGAGCATCCTCGCTCCCAGTCCTGTCAGTCAGCAGTTCACCACAATAAGGTTCCTTCTCTCCTTTGTGCTGTGTGGTTCAGGCTGAAGGCAAACAGCTGCAGCTTTCCACTGTGTTCCCCTGCCTGCACCAGGCTCCCTGCAGGGCAGTCTGAACTCTTGTGACTGGTGTAGGACAGAGCTCAGGGCCAACCAGTGGTCTGTCTCACAGGAACACAAATGAGTTGGTATCTCAGATTTGTCAGTCCAAGTCATGCACAGAACGAGACAGAACTGAGGGTGAGGATTACTTCTGCTCTTACACAATAGGTGCATTATTCCTTAAGTCAGGTGTGGTCACCCTTGTGGCTGCATGACCTAGGTGGAAATAATGTTGAGATAAGTGATTCTTTGGTAGCCGAGTGCTAGTCGTGCCACAGATACTCAGTACAGTCTCAGTTAACTTCCAGAAGCCATTGGGAACTACTGTAGCTTTTCAGAAACAAACTGGAAGGTTTCTGGATGTCAGAAGTTCCAAAGGGGGTGCCTACTCTCATTGCATAAGCATAGCAAAAAGTCCTTATCCTTATAGAAAGGGACAGACTACAGCTTCAGCCCAACCAAGTAGGAAGCCCCCTGGTTACACAGACACTCTGGATGAGGTGCCTCTATCTGAGGTTTTGTGCCCACTCCATAGCCAGACCAGGAGAAAGTTACAGGTGAGGTTCTTTGTACCAGAGTATATCCTTGCTTGTTACTAGATGACTCAACTGCTGATGACAAATGCTGCTTGCTTCTTTGTAGGTTTTTCTCTGAGACTGTCCTGTGTTCTGTTACATGTACAAAGGGTGTGCTTCCATTTTGTGCAACTGCATTTAAAGGTATCACGACCCCAGAATCCTACTGATTCCCTATTTGTCAGTATAGTTTTCCATGGAAAAGTAGCTAAAGATACTGCTTTGTTCTGAGAGCACAAGTCAAAAAAGCCTGAAGCAAATACCAGAAGTAACCGGTGCCCAACAGAGAAACCAAAGAGAGCCACTCTGCTCGTAGGAAGGTCATATTTCAGCTCTTGTGCTTATGAATCTGCTGTTTCCACCACTGTAGTTGGCACTGCTGCCTCCTATTGTGAATGCTGCTGCAAATGCTAGGCACCCTCTACACTGTGTGTTTTCCTTTACAGCAAGATCTGCACAGCACTTTTGCAGTCAGATCTTCCCTGTGCATCCTGCAGAGCTGCTTTGTGCTGGGGCTCAGACAACTGACAGTGCAGGTGCCACCCAGGAGGTTTATCATGCGATGTGAAAGCAGCAGGATGAGGTATAGAGGCTCTTCCTCCACTGTCCTTACCTTTGGAACTCATAACAAGATGTTTTCTGTAGTGTAGAAATGGTTTGTGTTAGAGGTATTTCCAGTTCCTGCTGAGCTTGGAGGGCTGCTTCCTATTGCAGCTTTCTTGTTCTTCCATGCCAAAGGCTGCTGGTCCTTAAATTAAATGATTAGCTTCTGTTTTTGGAAGTGAACGTGTTCTTCCCAGGTTGCCCACATCAATATCCTTGTTGTTCTTCCGCTCCTGCTTCACTAAGTAGAAAGGAAGGTCACATTAATGCAAGAACAGATTGTCCTGGGAGGAGGGGAGGCAGACAAATTGTCATCTTTTGAGGTGGAGAATGGATTAGAGCAGGTCTGCAATGCTGATCTAACCAGCAAGGTGTTTCATCCAGCTGATGCCTCATCCTGGAGAGTACAAGCAGCATCTTGGGAGACCATGTATTACTTCTCACCTTTGGCAGACTGAACTCTGGGTGAGTTCATGCCTGATTTCCTGCTTTAGGGTGGGCCTGTTGATATTACATGCAGTCTCACCATACCCCACTAGAGGGATATAACCGAAAGAACATCAGTCTGTATGTTTGAAAGCAGGAGCTGGACCTGCAAAACAAACAAACAAACAAAAAAAAGCCCTACTGTATGGCACATCCCTCATCAGCAAAGTGAGGGAAATAAGAGGAATTAATGAAAAATCAAAGTTGTGCCTTCTTTTTTTTGGTTATAAGCAGCTAAGGTAATACCAGATCTTTTCCATAAGAAACAAGGAGGCAAGGCAGGGGAGCACAGGTTAGGTATACTTGTTTGTAGTAAAGCAAAGAGAGATAGGTGATTCCAATGCACTGTGTGCATCTCTCTCAGTTCTTACTCATTTGCAGATTGTCAGGCAGACAGGACCTTAACTGACTTTGAATCTTGGGTGTGCCCAAGTGCACAGCTGTATTTCAAAATACGCAGTGCCTGAAACCTGGCATTCAAGCCTGTCCACTCTATTACACTTACAGTTTGGCAAACACTGCTGTTACTGATTCAGAGCTCACCAAAAGAGGCTGTGCTTTCACAAGCCATGGAAATCCTCAAGAAAGGCCTAGCAAATTGTAGAATCCTGGCAGCAAGCTTTCATCCTACAGTGTGTTTCTTAGCCATTTGCATGCTATGTCCCACAGCTGTCAGGTAGCTGGTAAACAAGAAATGACCCTCCTTAATTTTGAAAGTGTGTCTCAGAATTGTCTGTGGTGTGCTGGAGAGCTGCAGGTGGGCTTTCCTATTGCATGCTGGTTGCTTCCCTCCACATCCTTTGCTTGCTGCTCATGCCTATGCCTCCCACAGGATGGAGCTGGTCTCTTGTGCCAGCTATCATGAACTCAGGAAAGCTCTGTAATGAGCATTTGTATGGCTACGTGCTAAAGCAGGTACAAGTGACTGGTATTACTGATGTGAGGGGCAAAGCTATTTCTGATCCCTGCCAAAGTTATGTTTTGGAAGCAGGACTCAGTTCACAGCTTCTGAAAGAAGCATTAGAGATCAAATGGAATGTTCCCATCCAAATTAAACAGAAATCCCTGAAAAGCTTTCTGAAAAGTAGTTCTGCATCTCAGCTTGGCCTTTGTGACCCCACGTGGCCAACTGAGGGCAACTTGCTGCGCTTTTACAGGTCCCATTCTCCAAAGTCAGTAACTATCCTCCTCGCATTACAGATGGAGAGATGAATCATGCTGAGACAACTTACAGGAAGAGCTGTCCTGTGGAAATCCTCAGTTGCACAGTACCCAATGTTCACCAGGAGATCACGCTCCTTTGCTGGAGCCGGGGGCTGCCGGTTCAGCTGGAAACCGCAGTGCTTCTGGATGACGTTTTCCCCTCCTCCCACTGAATCAGCCTTCTATTTACCCATTGGAATGCAAAGTAACAGGACACCCTGTGAGTTTTATCTCTCTCCCGATCTTTTGTATCGCTGTCTAAGTTGCCAGACCGGATTGGAAGTTTTAGCTGCAGACATATATGGGGTGGTTTCAGGGTTGTCTGGCAGGAATCTGGGTGGGAGGGTGCTGTTGGTGAAATTTGAATTTGGGAGTCACACTGAGCACAGAATCCTTGAGACGCTGCAACAAGGAAAACCCTTTGCCACTGGCTCTGAATCTAGCCCATCGCTGCTGTGCCCATGTGGATGGATGGTGCTTCTTTGTGGAGTTAGAATTACTGGGAACTGCCTCCACCAGAAGACGTTTCCCCTGCAGGCAGCCTGCCTTCGCTCCTTGTGTAAGCAGCTACCTTTTCCTCTTTTCCCTGCATGGCATTTCCAGGGCTGGGAGCTGATGTGAAAGAATTCTGTTCGGTCAGATGGTGTTTGCTCCTCCAGCAGCTAATCCCTGTCTCCTCTGGGACTCTCCTGGGGGTAGAGCTCGCTGTGGTTTAGCTTCTGGAACTTGTGTACAGTTGTAACAAAGACAGACTTGTTTCTCAAAGTTTCGGTTGTACCTAAAGCAAGTAATCTCCTTCCTCCTAAAGGTATTTTAAACCTCAGCTTTCTGCTCTCATGCTGCTGTTGTGGCCATACAGATACAAAGAGAGGAGGCTAGGTGGAAGAGGTGACAGCCTTTATTGAATGAACTGCTGTAAGTGGGCAGAAATGGAGGCTTTGTTTGTTGCTGACTGCTACCATTGCAAGTGAGTAATTTGTTTGATCTTTCTGCTTTAATTACATCTTTCTTAATAGTGGAGATGGACTTGCTGAGTTCAGCATCCTTCAGTCAGACCAGAGAGACACGTGGTATGTCTGCTAGTGCAAAAGCACGTGGCATATGCTTACTGAGAGTGGTGCTTTGATGTTTTGGGTCTGTACAGTGGTCAGAAGGAGCAGGCCACCACCTACCGTGGCAACTTAGCCATTATTGCAACACAGCCACTGTGCTTGGGCAGCAAAGAAAAGGGAATCCTGTCATTTAGGGCTCTGAACTGACTGCCTTCCAGCTATGTAGTATTTTATATTCAGCAATGGATTGCTTTCTTGTTTTCCCAGCCATGATTGTATCTTCTTTTTCAAAGAGCCAACTGGGCTAATGAATTAGTTTGCAGAATGACAGTGGCTTGAATGACAGGAAGCACTGAGCATTTGCAGCTCTGCGTGAGACCAGGAGCTGTGGATCTTTTCAAGAGACACCTTAGGTCTCAAAGAGTGAGACTGCCCTCATTAGCCACATCCCAGAGCACAGCATTTTCTTGGCACCTGCCTGGAGGAGACTAATTGATATGCAGAAGAGGAGGATAAATTTGCAGAAACAAAGAGCGGTAGTTCAGCTCAGAGTAGCTGCTTTGCACATACGATGTTTTACTGGGGTATTAAATCAGATTGGAGCACTTGCAGTCAGCCAGGGAGGGAAAAGCTGTAAAACTGGAGTGCTGGGAAGGGCTGGGCATCGGGAGAGAGCTCAGAGCAGCTCCTGACATCAGCCAGCCAGGTAATTTCAGCAGTCTGACTAACAAAGCCACCTTTTGAAGGGGAATACCTTAAATCTGAAAATAGTTCCTGCCCTGTGGTACTCAGCAAGCAAAGGGATTCTAGTGCCTGATAAGGGAGCTGGGAAAGCAGTGGCAGAAGCACTTCTGCAGGAGCACAATAGTTAAGTTTTTCACCCGGAGAGAAAACAGCAGGATCAGAGAGCAGACATCATCTCTTTTTCCCCAGGGAGGCACCTGTGAAAGGGACAGGAAGCTTGCACTCCGCAGGAGACATTTTAGAGCAAGGGCAAACAAAGGTAACGCAGCACGAGTCTCCCTGCGGCGCTGTGAATCAGCATGCAGCTTCTGTTACACCAAACCAGAGAGGTGGCAGGTGTGTGTGTTCAGGTATGGAAAAAGTCAGTTTCAGGGCTGGAGGCAGTTGTTTTAAAAGGAGGACCAGTTCAGACTCTGATTTTTGAGGGGTACGTTGTGTGGTGGCATAGGCTATGACGTGTAGCGTCGAGAGGGAAGAACTTTTTCAAGGAGGATGGTTTTGGTGTCTTTGATGCTGAATGTAGGAAACCTAGAAGTTAGTGTCATTGGAGTCATCTTCCCAAGAAGAGGAAAACAGTGGGGTAAAACTATGTTAGGAATGCAGATTTTGGTACTGAAAACTTTCTTTTAGATCTGCATTAGAACATCCTGAAAACGCAGATCTTTTCTTCTGATCTCTCCTTCTCATCCCTGGCAGTGCTGCTTAATGTGAGGCTGTACAATCCCTGAGACACGTTGCCCAAAACTTGCAGTGTGGGATTTGGATATAGAGTGGTTTCTGCTGTGGTGTGTGTCATTTTGCATCTCTTTTCCTCTGGCTGGAGAATGACTAATTGAAGAGACCTTTAAAGGCCATCTGTGCTGATACTTGAGGGATCTAAATGGGGGTACAGGAGGGACAGAAAGGCTGTAGTGCTGTGTGAGGGATCAGGGTTGGGGTATATGATGGACAGTGGTCCATGCTGCTGCCTGGGGGACCTGAGTGGGGATGCTGGGTGGAGCTGTGTTACTATAGAAGGGATCTTTGTGGGGTGCATGTGGACAGAAGGGCTGTGCTGCTACCTCAGGAATGTGTGCGTGGGCTCTGAGGGGACAGAGGGGCTGTGCCTCTGCTTCAGGGACATGGGACAGAAGGGACAGCTGATGCTTCAAGGGTGTGAGTGCGAGTACAAGGAGTACAGAGGATCTGTATTGCCACTTCAGGGATCTGGGTGAGGGTTGTGGATGGACAGAGGAGCTTCTCTGCTTGAAGGAATCTGGGTGGGAGTGCTGGATGGACAGAGGGTCTGTGCTCTGCCCACGGGATCTGGGTTGGGTACATGGCAGGTACATGGCTTTGCTTCTACTTCAGGATGTGAGTGAAGGTCCTGGATGGACAGAGGGGCTGCGTTGTCACTTGGGGGATCTGGGTCGGGGTACGTGGTGGACAAGGAGACCTGCTGTTGGTGGAAGTATCTGAACTGGGGTCCATCTGCTGGAGGCATCAGGGTTTGGGTACCAGACGCACAGAGGAACGGCTGCTATTTCAGGGATCTGAACGGGATGGTTGAACCGGATGACCTTGATGGTCTTTTCCAACCTCGGCGATTCTGTGATTCTGCGACTGGGGGCACAGATAAGGACACGCTGTGCTCGGGCAGCTCCCCGGGGTTCCCACGGGACGGCTGTTGTCACCCTGCTGCGCGACGGGGAGCACAGAAAGAGCGGGCAACCCCAGCCTCCGGCTTCACCCCAACCGCGACCCGCTCTGCTCCCGGGCCGCTTCCTGCTTACCGTACCGCACCTGCCGGAGGGCCGGGCCGGGGGAGGAGCCGCGGAGCGCCGCGCCATGGCGGCCTGAGCCGGCGGCGCTGGGCATGGAGCGCGGCCCCGGGGCGCCCGGCGGCGGCATGAAGTACACGGCACGGCTCCAGGTGAGCGTGAGCCCCGACCGCGGGAAGGGGGAACAGCGGAGGGCCGGAGATGCCCGCTGCTTCGTGATTCGCGGTGCTGAGGTTGAATGAGTGGCGGCCGATCGGGATTTCAGCTTGAATGCGCCGCGGTGCGGGGCTGGGTTCGGGGTGCCGAGCAGCGCTGCTCGCCCTAGCGAAGCGCTGTGGGGCTTTGCTCGTTAACCGGTGAGTTATCTGCGTGCTTAAGCCGCAGTCTTTGCTTTTTGGGGAAAGCGAAGGGTCGATCGGGAGCAGCTCTGCGCCCAGAGTTCTGTTCAGTACCGCGAAGCTGCTCCAAAGCGGCTTTGGACTGATGGCGAGCTGCGTGTTTTCTCGCTGCCCTGCTTGTTGGGAGCCCGGCGAGGGCTGCTGGTTGTCATCTGATGGCCGGTCGCTGGAGCCCTCAGGAGGAAGCTGGCCCACAGCAGGAGAAACTGGTCTCCCTGCTTCCAGCCCTGTGTGCAGCCCGGCACAGGGAGAGTCGTTTGCAGTGTTATGGGTGAGGTCCTGCGTCATCCTTGTGCCAAGTGCTGGTTGTCCTCCAGGAAAAAGGACGTTTGGGATCCTGACAGCCTGCTGCTGTGCTGGGATGGAGGTGATGGCCTCAGGTTGCGCCAGGGGAAGTGCGGGTTGGTATTAGGAACAACTTCTCCAGTGCGCTGTACAGGGGGTCACCGTGCCTGGGGGGGTTCAGAGCCGTGGGATGCGGCACTGAGGGATGCGGGCAGTGGGGGTGGGCTGAGCTCGGGGATCTGAGAAGTCTTTTCCAACCTGAAGGACCGTATGGCAGCTGTGGGTTTCGTACGTCTTCACGTCGCGGCTGGATGCTCGAGCCACCTCTGCCACACTGCGGCTCAGCTGCCGGGATCAGGGATGTGCCATGTCCTTCCCTGGGGTCTGAGCACAAGAAGAGCTGAGGTGCTCTGGGAGGTCTGTCCTTGCAGATGAACGCTTTGAGGAGTTTGTTTCTGGTCGTTCAACTGCTGTTGGGCTCGGTGGACCTGGAAACATGGCGGTGCAGCAGATGGGAGTGTTTTGCAATGGCTGTGCTTCCTGCTGTGAGATTTACAGCCCGTGGGTGCAGTGCATGGGGAAGCTAATCCTCGTCCTTAGAAAGGTGCAGAGCTTTTCTCTCAGGCAGTGCCAGTGGCTGCTGGGTGAGCTGCTGCTTGGGCCAGTTCTGCTGCTCTTCTTGCCAAAGGCACAGACGGATAACGAAGGCACAGAGAGAGAGAGACTGAGGTTGATCGAGAGTGCGGAGGACCTTTGCTCTGTAAACAAAAGATCACTGTAAAACTGTTGAGGGAACCGGGAGAGCGGTGTTGAGGGCCTGACTGGGGAATGTATGGCACCAAATGTTCTCACCTTGCTCGGGGAGAGTACGCCGTTTCCAGCCAAAGGCCATGCAGACTCACCTTACGGAAGGTGTGCTGTGATATCTGGGCAATGAGCTCACACAGAGGAGAGAGCAGCTACTGCAGCGGCTGAGTAAGAGTTTGCTGATACAAGGCTTTGCTTGGTCAAAGATTCTGGTATTTCCCCTGCTGTTGACCCCAAGTAACGAAATATCTTGGCCCAGGTCCACCTCAAGACTGGAAAAGCCAGTAAAGAGTGTGGGCGAAACGTGATGATGAGCTTAGGGTGCTTCACCGAGGTCTGGAGCTGTTTGTTGTTGTTCAGACACTACTCTGCACCAGGCAAGTTCTAAATAAGCTACTTGCATCTGTGGCGTGCTTCCCTTCTGGGCCTAGGAAATCAGGGAGGAATTTCCAGGCTCACAGCTATATGTCAGGTCTCTGAGGCTACTTTAATTCCCACCTCTCCCCAGGGTTGACAGTCTTACATGAAAAAAACCTGCTACAACAGAAACACAAATAGATGTGGTCACTCCTATGAGCTGTGTGTTTCATGACAGAGCTGTGCTGATAAGGCTGATGCCAAGCCTGTGCTGTCCTGTGCAAACATTAACTTAGTTTCTTCTGTAATTAACCCAAGGGAATTCAGTTTCTCTGTGACTCAGGATGGTCACAAGATAATTGAATGCTATAAAGACCTGTGTTTGGAATTGGTGTGTGACAGGTATCTTTCCCTGTTAAACTTGCCCTCTCTGCCTGGAAGTTGGACAGACTGGAGGATTCTGTCCCTTATTCCCTTCTTGGTTCAGATGCCATCGTTTTACAGTGCAATTACCCTTCATAAGGAACTACTGGAGGAAAATAAAACACTGATAAAGTTTCGACAGTGCTTTGCTGCCAATCCCGGGGCAACGCAGTGTGGACATGCCTTAGTGAAACTTAGCTCTTATGTTTGCCATTTCCATGTCGTTCTTATCAAGAATTTGCATGAAAATTATCCTTGTAAGTTTTCTTTCTGGAGCAGTACTGAGGTTTTCAGCAGGTGTTGGTGCAGCAGTTGGTCTCAGGTTGGTGTAGCTGCACTTGAGCTGCGTGGGTGAAGTGAGTTGCAGGCTGTGCACATGCTCCCAGTAGCTTTTAGGGTATTTTTTGATGTGAAACAAGTTGTTTCCTCGTGTGCCAGCACCATAAAACTGCTTTTGTCTTTGAGTATCATCTGGAAAACTTTGGGTTTTGAAAGAACGAATTTCTGTGGTCTTTCTGCACAGCAGTGCACAAGCCTAATGTGTGGTAAGCCCTTGGCAGGTCTGTGGGATCTGAACTGCCCCTGTGAAATGCCCATTTCTCTTCCTCTGCCAGGCCCAAGGAATGCAGTTGGTGATGAAACACCGCTTGAGCAGCAACTTCCCTTTCTGCACCCCCATCAAATCTCAGTCTTGAGAAAATAATTGTATTTTGAAGATCTGTAGTGAGAATAAGGTGTGGGATGTGATGGCGTCCTCGCTTTGCGCAGACACGTGAGGCTTTTGTACCCACTCCAGAAGGAGGAGCTTTGCTGCAGTGAAGCAGCTGGGTGTGATGCAGTGTGTGTTATTTGGAGGCAGGCAGTTTCCCTGTACAACTGTGGGGCATCTGTGAGCCCACTCCACTCCTCTCCAAGGCCAGGCTGTCCCAGGCAGTGAGCCTGCCCTGCTGCCTGCAGACAGAGCTGGCTGATGAGGTGGCTGATGGCTGCCATCCTTCTCATTTCCAGTACTGCACGCTGCTCATGTGATAATTGTTATAGATTTTATTGAGCAGGTGTGGCTGGAAAAGGGGAGGTGAGAACTGCCTCTTGGATACAGGCTGGGATCCGGAGAGTGTGATTACTTGGCAAGGGTCAGGTATTGGTCTGATGTCTCTCCTTCATCTCAGGCGACCTCCCCCAGGTCCTGTCTGACTTTGCGCTGCATCTCTTGGCTGTGTGCATTGGTCAGGGAGCTGTAGTGCAGACCTGGAGCAGAGGGAAGGAAAGGGGCTGTGCAGAGCCACAGAGCTGCCAGCAGAGCTGGGTGATGCTGTTAGTCACAAACCTGCTGTTCGCTTCTGTGCGGATCTGTGCAGAGGAGATGGGGCTGGAATGTGGTAGCAGTCAAGGGAAGCAGTGGAATCCCATATCTGTGTTGTGCTGGGCAAACAAATTAACTGCTGATGATAAGAGACAGGTGAAACTCATGGCCAAGAGCCCAGCAGTTGTGTGGGGCAGAGTCCAGTGAGGCAGACGTGGACACCAGGTCAGAGGACGTGCCTGGGAGGGGTGCAGAGCGGAGGGGGCTGTTGGTGTGTGGGCTGAGCTGGCACTGCCAGGCAAGCCTGAAACCAGCCAGTAAGAGTAATGAATCCCACATTGGCCAGCCCTCTGTAAACATCTTGCTGGGAAGAAGCACGTCCTGACCTTGCTGGGAGTCCCTGCTGCAGGAGAATCTCTGCTTTCCAGTAAATCATCTCCCATCCAGAGACTGCTGTGGCAGTTCCCACCCTCCCTCTGTGCCTGCTGCATTTCCTGCTAACAGAATTAGTCACTTCTGCATCTTCTGGTTTGTCCAGTCAGGCCGATTACGGTTGCTGTCTAAAAATAAATTACGTAGCTGTTCTGCTGAGGAGTGGGAAGGTTTGCTTACATACTGGATGTCACTGGGAGCCCGTCACTGGGGAGCTGCATGCAGGAGATCTCGGAGCACAGCATGCATCTCTGTGCACACTCCTCTCCTGATCCTCCTCGCAGTCCGTGCTCCAGGAGGAACTGAGGTGTGGGAGAAGTGAGGCACCCTCTGAAAACAGGCGCTGAGTGCAGGAGTCCCAGTCCTTGGTTTGTTTTGCTGAGAAATCAAGGCTTTGCAGAGATGAGATGAGATGTTGAGGGTGGCACGGGATGCTGCGGTTCCCCACACTGCAGCCCACCAATCTGACCACTAAATGAACAGCTGAAGGCTCACCTGCTGCTTGGTTGAGGGCTTTTTGGTCTTCTTTTTTTGGGGCAGTTTGGGCTGTTGCTTGCTCTTCCACATCAGGAAAAGACTCGGACTATTAAAAGCTGACTTCCCGACTCTTCACCATCCCCAAAGGATATTTTGAGGAGGCCCAGGCGCGTGCTGCTGTACAAGAAGCTCCTTCTTGTCACCTGGAGGCTTTTCAGAAGTAAGCTGCGGAGAAAGCATACTTCCCTCTGTGCCCTGGTGGCTGCAGCTCAGGGTAAGCTGCTCCTGAGTGCCTGTCCTGCCTCCTCAGCTGTGACACACATCTTTCTGGCCCTTTCACTCGCTTGGCACGTGTCTTTCCTCCCAGGACACTGCAGGCACAGCACCAGTCGGAAACCTCTGTGCCTACCAGAGAGCCTGCAGCCAGCAAGGGCTGAGCGAGGAGGAGCAAGAGGAAGTAACTGAACCTGTGACTAACGCGGGCAGAATATCAAGGAAGGTTTTCTGCTAAGGTTTAGAGAAGTCGTTTCCTTGTGAGGGCTGAGAGAGTCGGACCTCGGATCGCTTTGTGCTGGCGAGTGTCTCTTGGGGAATCATGAACAAGGTGAGAGCAGGACATGCGTTCACATCCTCTCTGATTTACATCTGAGATGCTGTTGTGGTGAAGGGAAAGTTTGGTCCGTGTGAGGGAAATGCATGGTAACAGTCAGCTAAAGGAGATTGGAAAAATGGTCATCTTTCTCTTGATTTTACTGTGATCTTTTGGCTCTTTCTTGCTTTTGGTTCCATCTGGATTCTGCCTGGCTGAGGGGCACTGAGCAGCAGTGGAGAGGAGCTGTTTTTCCCCGACAGGCAGGAGGGGCAGCAACAAAGAGGATGTGCAGCACACTGAGTGTGGAGCAGTGGCTGAACTGTGCCATTTGGACACAGATGTGTCTGGTACTAAGGTCAAATGGGTGCTTTCTGTGCTGAGTGTGGGCAGGACAGATTACTCAGAGGTTGGGACAGAGCTTTGTCTGAAATCTTCTGGCATGGTCTGGTACATTCCATGGTGCTTGGGGAATGCTTCAGATCCTTTGTATCGACAAGGGACTTGTCAGGAATCACTGGTGCTTGCCCAACCTTCAGTATGCAACAGGTTTTCAAAGCATCTTCATGCATGTCAGAGGAGGCTGGGAAACAATTGTGAGGTGTGAGCATGGGAGAGGATGAGACCTTAGAAGAGAGGGTAGGGACAGAAACCTCTTTATCTCTGGACACTGGAAGCCCAGGAAAGCTGCTGCCAGGTGAACATCATTAAAGCCCTGGAGGTTGTTCTCTTGCCGTGGGCTCCTGCAGATGTTAGAAGTGAATGAAATACTTTCCTTTTGCTGACAACAGCAGCGTATTGGAAATCCTGGAGGCCAGGTTCCTGGGAAGGGTTGGCTCTGCAAGCAGTGGGGAAGGGGAGATGCTGGTGAGGTTTGTGGTTGGGTTCTTCCCTTTATGTGTCCTTTACGTGAACTGTGATGGAAGACTCCTGAGCAGAAGGTTTGGGGGATTTGTTTGCTTTTGGAACTGATGGTTTGAGTGTGCAAAGATGGTGCATCAGGCACAGAATCTTGATTTGATGGATGAGTTTCTTGATTTGAGGCGTATACTTGCAGTTAAGTTCTCTTTGTGTGTTTTCTCTTACAAAGTTTTGCATTTTCAAGTTCTGTGTGATGGTGGAAGCAAAGCCAGCAGCAGAGCAGTTGCAGTGGGATGATCCTTGTGGCCTTCTGAGCCTTTTCTTTCTGCTGGCAGTGGCTGGATGTTGATGACAGAAACAGTCTGACACCTCAGAGATGATGCGGTTCATTTTGATTTCTTTTTGCCAATAATAAATAGCACAATTGAACGAAGGCTTCCTACCCCATGCTGTCGTTTTTCCTGAGTTGTTGGAGTTTGTGACATTTGTCTTTGAGCAGTTGATGACTTTTCTGAGCTCTGACACTGAGAGGGCAAACACTGTGAGGGCAAGACCCAGCGTCCAGCTGGCTGGAGTGTTACCCCTTTCCAGAGCACAGCAATGCATTTGAAAGGAGCAGATTTGTGCTGGTCAGCATTTTGGGTTGTTGTGTCCTTGCTGTCAGCCGGAGCTGGAGGAGAGGACATGCTGAGCTTCCTCTGTGCACAGCTAGAGCTGCCCTCAGCTGCACAAGCTCTCCCCATGCTGGGGGCACGAGGCAAGCCCTCCCTTCAGAGGACATTTCCAAATTCCTGGTGTGTGCCCTGGCTCTCGGCTACGCCCTCCAGCTTTCATAAGGAGAGCTGAAGTCATCCCTCCTCCTCTCCGTGCGCTGAGTGGGCACACAGGGCGATCTTGTCTCATCAGCATGGGGATGGGAGGTGGGTTTTCTCTCTCCAGTTTGCCCCAGCTGGAGGATGGAACGCACCGCTCTGATTCCCTGGCTGGGTGAAGCCTGGGCAGCTGCAGGTATGTGGGCAGGGCGAGGAGCTGGGGCAAGAAAGTGAAACTGCAGGCAGCAAGGGCTCACTGACACTGGTTCCTGGCCGTGCTTTCATCCTGTGCGTGCAGAGCTGATGCAGGGCTGCGTGCTGTGACAGAGCCCTTCCCCTCGATGGCCCAGCCCAGCACAGGGCGGTGATGGCTGAGTGCTGCTGATGCCATTCTTCACTCCTGGGTGAGACCTGCTGATGTCTGCCAGCACGTTTGGTCCCGAGAGGCGGGTTGGCTGCTGGTGGGGGGGAGGGGGATTGTTTGGTGTTCATCCTTGTGTTTTATTGCTTCTGTAAGGCGTTTGTTCTGATTGAGAAGGAATGTAGGAGTGTTGTGTTGGCCCAGCAAACGCACGGCGTGGTGTGAACATTCAGGGAGGAAGTAGTTTGCCTTCTGTTTCGATCACACAGCACTGCTGTGTCCTGTGGGGTGGCACACCTGTCTCATAGCTGGTGTTGTGGTGATTTTCTGTCTGCTTTTTCCACTCGCCTTGAGGTTCTGGGTTTGTGACCTGCCACAGCCTTGGGTGTCCCAGTGTTTGCTCCAACTGATCGGCTTGGGTTAGGCCCAGAAGGAAGCACCCACTTCCTCTTGGGGTGTGAGGAGGAGGCACATGTTAGAGCTGCTGTCTGCGCAGGATCCTGCTTGGGGGTGGCTGTGGGGCTGCTGGCACTGAGGTGTGTGTTGTGCTCTCAGTGATGCCCGAAGGCTCTGCTCTGTGTCTGTAGGTGCCTGACTGCCTTGCAGTGTTGGATCTCTCCAAACCAAACCTGGGGAATGACCTTTCCATTGCCCTGCCCTCTCTTCCCGTACAGGACATGAACAACCTGGAGGAAGGGGTGGAGTTCCTCCCTGCCATGAACTCCAAGAAGATGGAGAAGCGTGGCCCGAAGCGAAGGGTAGTTGTGGCCATTCTGATCATTGCTTTTCTGCTCATCTCCCTTGTCACTGGCCTCCTGGTTTGGCACTTCAAATGTGAGTGTGATGTTAAGCTAACGTGGGGTGGTGGCATGCGCTGGGAACATAACCCTGCTGTTATGGATTTGGAAGAGCTTCATTACCAAGTGTTGCTCACCTGTGACCTTCCTACAAAGTGCAGTAGCAGCCAGAGGCTCCAGAAAGCAGAGAGCCCTTTCTCCCCCTTCACTGGAGATCAGCTGTGCCACAGTCCCTGCCCTGACTGCCTTTCCCTGTGAAATGTTGCCTTCCAGACAGGAACGCTCCTGTGCGGAAAGTCTTCAACGGCCACCTGCGAGTTCTGAACTGGGAATTCATCGATGCCTATGAGAACTCCAGTTCTCCAGACTTCATCATGCTGGCTAAGAAGGTGAAGAGCACGGTAAGCATTTTCTTGGATCCCTACTGCTGAGTTTTTATTTCTGTTCTGTGGCCATAGAGATCTTACTTGTAGCTTGGAGCTTTCTCACTTCTCTCAACTCTTCTTGCTCATCACGAGTCGTGTGACTCACTTTTAAATGGATCTTGGTATCACAGCTCCAGCCCGTTGCCACGCTGTCTGCCTGCCCTGTGCCCCAGTGTGCCATGTGGGGTTGCCTAGGCAAATCCCAGGGCTGGCAGGTTACCCAGGTCTGGCATGTAGGGTCGGAGAGGAAAAGCTCTACAGCTGAGCAAGCTTGGGGGCTGGGGCTGAGGCAGGAGGTGGCTGCAGGAATCTGGACACTTGTCTCCTTCTTTCAGCTCTCCTTCTTCCACTCTTTGGCCCCTGCAGATTCCTGCACTCCTGGGATGCTGGGTATGTGTCCTGATTTTCCTCCAGAGGCTTGAAGCTGTCTGTCATTGTCCTTTCCGCTCTCCTCACTTAAAGATGTGCTGATCGTTCTTCTTTAAACTCCTTTTAGGTAGAGGATATCTACAGGGGTCATCCAGATATTGGTCCTTACCATAAGGAGACAGTAATCACTGCGTTCAGGTGAGTGTTAGGAGATGCTATCTGAGCTGAGATTGGGAGTGTAGGAAAGCAGTTCTGGGGTGTCACATTGGCCATAAGACCCTCTTTGCTGGGCTGCTGTTGTTGGAGGCACCTCAGTAGTCACCCCAAGTGAGGTGGTAAAGGTTGGGCAGTGAAAAGCAACCTCACAAGCATTGTGCTGAGCCAGAATACTGCTTTCTCCAGTCTGTCTCATCATGTGCTGAGGGAGATGTCTTGGGAGAATTGGATGTGGTGCAGTAAGCCCTATAAGACACAGCAGCTGGTGTCTGGCAGCCTGGAAAGGGTCTTCACGGACTGACTGGGGCCTTTGCTGGACTTCAGTTTGCTCAGCTTGTTATTGAGGCTGTCCCTTTCCTGTGGTCATCCTCCAACAACAGCTTATCATTTGACTGGCCCCCTCTCTTTTGATACGTCAGCCTTCCCATGTGTGTCCTTGCTGTCCTCGCCCTCACCCCATAATCACCCTCCCTCACAGTGAAGGCAGTGTCATTGCCTACTACATGTCAGAGTTCATCGTCCCCAAGTACTGCGAGGAGAAGCTTGACAGCGCCATGGCAGACAGGCAGAATTTGGTGCAGAGGCTGAACCCACGGCTGCGAAACCCCATGCTGAGGGTGGAATCAGTCATTGCTTTCCGTGAGTGCTGTGTTACTGTGTGGGACTGGGGAGGAAGGGAGGCTCTGGTGTTTCACTGGAGCATTTAGCTGCCAGTTGTACCCCTCCTTCGGGTGCCCTTGGCTGCAGGGGCTGCTTGCAGGGTAAGCACGAGCCACAGCAGTGCAAACCCTAGCGATCTCTTCAGCTTTGTGTGAAGAGACTTTTCACAGCTCAAAGGGTGACAGCACCTCTGTTTCTTCCTGCAGCTGCCGACCCCAGCATCGCTCAGAGTCCTCGGGACAGTAAGTACAGTTCTTCTTCAGTCTCAGTGTAATAGCCTCTGTGCATCCCCAGGTGTCTGCAGGGTGACAGTTTCCCTTTTGGGGTGAGGAAGGGCCTGAGGGGAGGTGCTTTGCCTGAGCCAGATCTCCATGTGCTGCTTGGAGCCAGTTTGGGGTTGGCCAAACTTGCTGTTATCCAGCAGTGGTGGGTGGCCTGGTCTGTCCTTTGCAGTGCCTTTCTGCAGGAAGGCAAAACTCCAACACGTCTGCCATCCTCTGTATACCCTGCACCCACAAGAAAGGTCTCTCCTCCTCCTCATTTGCCCTGATAACTCTTTGCTGTTCTCCTGGGCAGATAGTTGCCTTTTCACCCTCCACGCCAAGGAAGGGGAGATCACCAGTTTCACCACGCCGGGGTTCCCCCACAGCCCGTACCCCAACAATGCACGCTGCTACTGGACACTGAGGGCAGATGCCAACTCCATCATCAGCCTGACCTTCAAGACACTGGACTTGGAGCAGTGCACAGACAGCAGTGACTACATCAAGGTGTATAACTCTCTGAGCCCTGTGGAGCCCCATGCTTTGGTGAGGTGAGTGTCCCCAGGGTTTGGTGTTCCTTCTCCATAGGGTGGGGAGAGGGGTTCGTGTTGGCTCTGTGTTGGCTCTGTGTGTGGCACTGAGTCCTTGTGGGAGCTGACAGGCTGATCCTGAGCTGCACAGAAGTCCTGGTGGTGGAGCTCTTGTCCCTGCTCAGAGCTGATTTGTGCTACTTGAGGCTCACTGTGCAGCTGCCTAACAGATTCTGTTCCTTCCTTTGTAGGCTCTGTGGGAACTATGCTCCTTCGTACAACCTGACCTTCCTGTCCTCCCAGAACGTTATGCTCGTCACGTTGATTACCAACAAGGAGGGGAGATTCCCTGGCTTCAAGGCTGAATTCTTCCAGCTCCCAAAGATGAAAGGTAAGCATAGACCTTGGTCCAGTTTTCCCCTCCTCTCCCTACCACCAGCAGCTGAAAAGGGAAGTGCACCTGTGGCTGTGGTCAGTTTGCCAGGCATTTTTCCAGGGCTGGGAGATGTGGAAGCAAGGTCCCATCTTAGCTCTTTGAGCTTGTCTTGCCTGCAGCTCTTGGCTGCTGTGGTGATGTCCCCTGAGGAGGGGAAAATAAGAATTAGGACTGGCATGCAGATGGGTGTATGCAGGAAGTTGGTTTCCTGAGTGCTTTTGAAGCCTTGGAGCAGGAGCTGCTTTCTGCCAGAGATTAACTTAAATGTGTTAAGGACTGGTGCATTTCTCTCCTTTCCTGCCTCAGCCACTTATGTCTTGGGAAAGCCACATCTCTTTGAATCTCTAATCTGCTTTCATCTTCCTGCTTCTCTTCCAGCGTGTGGTGGGACTCTAAGAGGAGAGAGTGGCACTTTCACCACTCCCTATTACCCAGCACACTACCCACCAGCCACGGACTGTGTCTGGAACATAGAGGTAAGACACATTCTCCTCTTAGCCTTAAATATTGTGTCAAATGAACCTGCCTATATGGGACAGAGTGCAAGTGAGTTTACAGAAGGCACTGCCTAGAGGCTTAGAGTCTGAGATGGCTAGAAGAGGTTTTAGGACTAATGTCAAAGGCAGAAGAGGCTGAGGGAAGTCTGGACCTTTTGTGACACTTATTGTAGCCCCCAGTAGCTGTAGCTTTGCACAGTGCACTTGATCTGGGCTTTGGGACAGAGCTGTCTCTTGCTGGTAAAACTGCTGGCAGGGTCTATCTTTTGCTCTGGGGGGGTGGACACAGTTGACAAAGGCCAACCCTCAGCCTTCTTCTGTGTGCTGCTTTAATGTGAGATCCTAGGGTCAGCAAGCTGAGTGGCTGTCTGAATGACAAGGTGAGCAGTAGTGGCTTTTTGGGAAGGTTTTTCTTTTTCTGCTTGACTTCTTTCCTTTCTCAGTTATCTATCCTTATCTCAAACATTTTCCCATGTAACTCATTCTTGTATTTATTGCTTCAGAAAAGCAGCATGCCTCTGACTCTTTCCTTTTGCAGGTTCCTTCTAAAAAGAACGTGAAGGTGCGTTTCAATATGTTCTTTGTGCTGGAGCCTGGGGTCCCAGTCAGCTCCTGCACCAAGGACTATGTGCAGATCAACAACACGAGGTAGGTTTTGGGCAGCCTGTCTGACTGTGGCTCTGGCCCTTCAAGTAAGGAGGGGCTGTGTTCAGTTCTATGGCATTCTGTGCTTTCTTTAAACTTGCTGTGGGAGCAAGGTGCTGTGCAATTTGGGTTGAGGCAAGCTAGTGCTGGGGTCTGACCTCATAGCTCAATGGCCAGTGGTGAAAGCAGATCCACGCTCCCTGTTCTGAACATCAGACAAAGGGTTTGTTGCATGCTGCAGCTGAAAAGAACCCAAAGACGGGCCGTGGAGCGTCACATTCCATGCATTTTGTGCAGAAAGGCAGGTCCATGAGGAAACAGCTGGTGTGATTTTGCTTGGATGAGTATTTCTCTATTGTTAGGCTGACTGCATCCCCTTCTCTGATGCATTTACTTTTAAATTTACTGTTAACTCTTACACAACCTAATGGAAGCTGGACTAAAAACACAGTGTGGGACTGCATAGGGGAAGCAAGCAGTGTTGTTTCACAACATTTTGGGCAAGGGGGCTGACCCTTTGAGGAGAGAGGGTTTCAAAATCAGAATCTGTATCTCTGGTCCTGGCTAGCTCCTGTTGTTCTTCCTTGTGAAGCAATTTCCTACTGACCCATCATGGGAAGAGATCCTGGGGCTTTAGAGGCTGCTCTGGATGGATTTGAGATCAGAGAGACAGTGATCAGCTTCAAATCAGGGATCTGGGTGAACTTGGCCTGATTGTCATCAAGTCCACAGTTTAGTGTTGCTTGCAGCTGGCTCCAACCTTCTGCCAGCTACAACAAAATCCAGCACTTGTGTGCAGGCACTGAGATCCAGCAACTCGTGCTCAATTCTGACCTACTCTGTTTTCTGCCTCCTTGGCTGTCTGCCCACCTGAAGTGACCCTTTGTGGCGATGGGGAAATCGGGGATGTAAGAAGGGCTCCTCAGTGTTGATCTGTCATATTCCCTTGGTGTTCATTTTCTCATTTACCCATCAGGTACTGCGGGGAACGTTCCCAGTTTGTGGTGGCCAGCAGCACCAACAAGATAGCAGTGCATTTCCACTCAGACCGTTCCTACACAGACACTGGTTTCTCTGCAGAATACCTGTCCTACGACTCCAGCGACCGTGAGTTGAAGCCTGGAGGCAGTGGGTGGGAACTGGAGGTGTTCTGCAGGAGAAATGACCGGGGGCTCTCCCTGTTCTACACTTCTTCTGTCTTCCTGTAAATCAGGAAGCATGCTTTTCTGGGGATAGGAGCACGTCTTGTTTTCCTGCTGATCTCCTTGTAGTCCTCTGTTCTGAGGGAAAGCTGTTTTTTACGTTGGATGCTGCAGGGAGGAAGCTCAGAGCATTGGGAAGTACCACAGGGGGACAGCTGCAGGGCTCACGTGTTGTTTTGCTTCTCCTCCCTCCCAGCCTGCCCTGGCAAGTTTGCCTGCAACACCGGGCGCTGCATTGAGAAAAGCATGCGCTGCGACGGCTGGTTGGACTGCGTGGATGGCAGTGATGAGCGGTCCTGCAGTAAGTGCCTGCCTGCCTGCCTGCCTGCCTGAGGGTGCTGTGCTGGGTTTGTTCTGGCAGTGAGCCTCAGTTCGGTTACAGAACTGGGTAGGAGTTGCAGAGTACATGTGGAACACCCGTGTGATGCATGGATGTTGTTCCTGTATGCAGGAGTTTCTCCTCTTGCATTCACAGCGCTATCTAATATGTGTTATTGTTCCTGTTGTTTGAAGTTAATTAGAGAGGAGGGGATTCCCTGGTTTGGGATCTTGTCCTGAGGCGTGGGGCTGTTTTCTGAAGGAGAAATGTGCTGCTGGCACATGCTGTTTTCTGGTGTGCTTGCTTCTGTGTGCTTGAGTTCCCACTTGGGAACCACCCAGATTTTCCTGTGGTGCCATGCGTGTTGCTGGTGACCCCATGGGTAAATTGCAGATCTCTCCCCTGATTTCTCTCTGTTCTTTCTCAGCCTGTACTGACCAGCAGTTCAAGTGCCAGAATGGCTGGTGCAAGCCCAAATTCTGGCTCTGTGACAACGTGAACGACTGCGGTGACAACAGTGATGAGTTGCAGTGCAGTGAGTAACTTGTGCTGTGGGCAGGATGGGCTGAGGGCTTGAAAAAGGTGAAGGGGTGAAAATGGTGGAAGCACCGGTGTTTGTAGCTGCAGAGGTTTTACCTATGTTGGAGGAGAGGGAGATGGATGCAGCCATGCAGATTTTCTGGGACCGTGTGTGCTTTGCTGTTTCTCAGGAGCTGCTCTCTCCTCAGGTTGTGCAAACGACAGCTTCAAGTGCAGCAATGGGAAGTGCATCCTCAGCACACAGAAGTGTGATGGCAAGGACGACTGTGGAGATGGGAGCGACGAGGGCACCTGCAGCAAAGGCAAGGATGGGCTGTGGTGGGGACCTCCCTTGAAATGCAGCCTCTTATGGATGTTCTTGTGGCTGGGCAGCCTGGAGAGCATTTCTGCCCGCAGTGGCAAAGTCCTGGGATGGGCAGAAGTGGGGAGGGGCTCCTGATCAGCACAATTTCCCCAGTGCTGGGACTAAACATTAAACATTAGGAAGTATTACTTTTCAGAAAGGGTGGTCAGGCACTGGAATGGATGCCCAGGGAGGTGGTGGAGTCACCGAGCCTGGGGGTGTTCAAGGAAAGGCTGGATGTTGTGTTGAGGGACATGGTTTAGTAGGAGCTGTTGGTAATAGGTGAACGGTTGGACTGGGTGATCTTTTAGGTCTTTTCCAACCTTGGTGATTCTATGATTCTATGATTCTAAACCTTCTCCTTTGACCTTCCTGCAGCAGCCCAGTCAACAGTTGCCTGCAAAAAGTACACATACAAGTGCCGCAATGGACTCTGCATCAGCAAGCAGAACCCAGAGTGTGATGGGCAGAATGACTGCGCAGACAATTCTGATGAGGACAACTGCAGTGAGTACCCAGCAAAGGGAATACGTGGGGTTCTGGGCTGGGCCACTTAAACCAAAGTGTGGTAGAGAGAACCCCCGGGCAACAGCTTGGATCTGGAAACAGCTCTGTTCTTTAGCAGTGTGCTGAGTGCCTGCATTGTCCAAGATGTTTCCAGAGGGTTTACAAAGAGAATGCAGGGGTTTGTCTGCATGTTTACTGATTTGGCCAGTGAGTGTAGCAGATTTTATGCTTTTGTTTTTATGCTGACAGCTGATAGCATCAGCCATCCCTGGTGTAGGAAGGAGCACTTGTGCTGTTCTGGAGAAAGGAAAAGGGGGTGGTGGGAGTATCTAAGTGTCTCTTCTCCTTCCTCATCCCAGACTGCGGGACCCGCTCCTACGTTAGGAAATCACGGATCGTTGGTGGGCAGAACTCAGATGTGGGAGAGTGGCCGTGGCAGGTCAGCCTCCATGCCAAGAGCCAGGGCCACGTCTGCGGAGCCTCGCTCATCTCGGAGAGCTGGCTGGTGTCAGCAGCACATTGCTTCCTGCAGATTCAAGGCATCAGGTAGGTGGGAGCTTCTGCCAGGGACACTTTGTGCAACAGATCTGAGGGCTGCCTGGTTTAGCACTGTCACAGACAGATGGATCTGGGGGAGAATCTTGTAGTGAAGTGGAAGCAGACAGTTGGAGTACACTGTTTACTTGTTGAGGTGTCACATGAGTTCCACTTTGTGTTTGCAGGCACTGCAGTGATTGATAGGAGGTGGGATTTGGGCTGACAGGTCGCCCAAAGTGGCACTTCCCTTTTCAGCCACTTGCTTCTCTGAATAAGCAGAAAGATTTGTAGGTTTTGAAGACAGCAGGCACAGTTTGTGAGCTGGGATGTCTGCTGGCTCTGCACAGCAGGACCTCACTCCTGTACTCTGTGACTCCTGCAGGTACTCAGATGCCAGCCTGTGGACAGCCTACCTGGGCCTGACCAACCAGAGCAAACGCAACGATGCCAACGTGCAAATGAGGCAAATCAAGCGCATCATCTCCCACCCCTACTTCAATGACTACACCTACGACTACGATATTGCTGTCCTGGAGCTGCAGAGCCCTGTCACCTTCTCCTCTGTCGTCCAGCCCATCTGCCTGCCCGATTCCACGCACAACTTCCCCGTGGGCAAGGACCTGTGGGTGACCGGATGGGGAGCGACTGTGGAAGGAGGTGAGCACTGAAGTGACTTCGTTTGCTGGGAGACCAGAATCAGATGTGATTCTCTTGGGAGTGCACACAGTTGAGGTCTCAGAGCTCAAGGGAAAACTGCACTGGGAAAAGACAGTTGTTGCAGTGGGGACTTAGCTGATAATTAATTGGTCACTTGTTAGGAGCCGGAGGCACGAATGAAGCGTACAGGTACGAGACTGTACAGGGGTGGGGGCTGCTGCTAACTGGACTTTGTGCTTACGCTGCTTCTGGTCCTTGCAGGCAGTGGATCCACCATCTTGCAGAAGGCAGAAATCCGGGTTATCAATCAGACTATCTGCAACCAGCTGCTGACCGACCAGCTGACGCAGCGCATGATGTGTGTGGGGGTCCTGACGGGCGGCGTGGACGCGTGCCAGGTAGGCGAGCGCTCTGCTGCACTGCTGATAGCAGGGCCAGCTCTTTGCTCAGCACTTTTGATTCTGGCACACTGACTCGTATTTCCACACTCAATAATAGACTGCACGTCCAATGTGGACCCTTCTGGGTTCGCACGGACAAACTAGAATGCATGGCAGCAGCAAATTGTGTTTATTGGTGCTGTGGTCTCATAAATGGATCACCGGATCGGACAGCAGTGCAGCTGCACTCTGCCTGCTCGATTATTGGGAGCCTTGGTGGCCCCTTATTTAGATTAGTTCAGCTGGTTTTATTCTGGCGTTCTTGATTCGGGGGGCTGGTTTTGTACATTGGATTGAACAGGAAATTGTAGGACTCGAATTAATCAAATTATTTCATCCCAATTTTATGATTTTTACGATTTACTTTAAAAACTTTTTTTTTTTTTTTTTTAAATGTTTTTATATTTACAGTACATTTTTTTTTTTTGTGCAGGGAGACTCAGGAGGGCCCCTGGTCAGCGTGGAGGACAGCGGGCGGATGTTCCTGGCTGGCATTGTGAGCTGGGGTGATGGCTGTGCACAGAGAAACAAGCCTGGAGTCTACAGCCGGCTGACAGCCCTGCGGACGTGGATCAAGGAGCAGACGGGGCTCTAGGGGCTCTGTGCACAACCCCCAGCCACAGCCACCTCCTGCACAGCACCGCCTGGGCACAACGCAGGGCTGTGAGGCACTGCCTGAGGAGCTGCCTCCAGTGTGAGCCTCTACCTCACCGCCTCCGAGACTCCCAACCCTGGGCTGCTGGGTGAGCGCAGCCCTCAGTCCTTCGTCCTCCCAGAGCCACGTCTCCACCTCTTGATTTCTCTCTGATGGGGAAGCGAAGGCGGTTCCCAACCCAACCCTGAATGAACAGTCAGGGAACAGAGAATTACCAAAATTTCAACTTTATTTAAAAAAAAAAAAAAAAAAAAAAAAAATTAAAAAAAAAAAAAAAAAAAAAAAAAAAAAAAAGAAAAAAACACACAGTGTTTTTCGAAGCAAGCTTCCTGGGAGAGGTTCAAAACAGTCTCTCATCATCTATTTCATCTCATTCATTTAATCTCATTAAATTGTTTTTAAATTGTCATCTGCAATCCTCCATCTGGTCTTCAGTGATGAGGGGGGAGAAGCTGTCAGCCTGTGTCCAGCTTGGCTTCTGCTCTTCTGTCCATGCAACGCTGCATAAGGAGCCCAGGGCTGCAGCACTGAGGGAGAGAAGCAGAGCTGCAATGTGGCTGTGGAGGGAAACCTGGAAAAGGCAGGGCCCTGCCCCGAGAGCAGAGAAATAGGCACTACCTTCTCATTGTGCTTCACGTTGCTCCTTGGTACCCAGCGCCACCATTCCCACTGCACTGAGGTGCTGCATTGCGCCGTGACTTCGTCCTCACAGGGAGATCCCAGGGACAGACAGGGGTGTTCCCACAGCTTGGCCCCTGCAGAAACAAAACAGGTTAGCTGGGCCTGCTCCCCAGCTGTCAGATCCCCCACTCTTTTTACCTGTTTTAAGGAAAAAAATGCAACCCTGTGACTGCTGAATGTGATTTCTTTTTCCTGTGTAGCCCAGTCCTGACCCCAGGAGAACACACTCCCAGTGAATGTAGTTAAATCTTTATCTGTAAATACAATATTTTTTTTTTTGTAAGACTCTCTATGAAATGGAAGTGCTCTAATAAATTGGGATATTTTATAATACGTGGTCTGGGTGGTTCTTCATGGGCTTCTGTGCAACCATTCCTCTTCTAGGAAACCTGCCGCACAGATCCTCCAACCCAAGCTCATTTCCCTGTGAACAGCTGTCCAAGGAGGAGGCTGAGCATCACAAATGGAAGTGCTCCAAAACCCATTACCTCTTCTCCTTCTCAGCAGCTGCACCAGGCTCCGACTTTGGGCTGCCTCAGGTCCCCAGCCCATTCCAGAGAGGCACAGCTCCTTTGTGCTGTACTGGAAGAGGTGCTGACACAGGCAGTGCTGCAAACAGCTTTGCACCTGGAAACAGAGACAGCACTGAGCTGCTGCAGTTTCTTCTGTAGCTGGCACAGGGACTGCTCTGTGTGCTCAGCTGCACTGCTTCCTACAGCCAGGAAAGCAAACCCTAAGGAAAAAGCAGAAAAGCTGAAAAAAAAAAAAAGAGGAAGAACCACACACCCCAAAAGACACCACAAAGAAAAAGATAAATAAAACACCACAAGCCACCAACAGCTCACAACCAAACCGTTTCTCAAATCCAAAGTCCAGCCTGGACACAGGGTGCAGATGGATTTGTGCAGCACACAGCTGCTCTCTGTTCCTGCCAGCTTCTTTGTCTGGGGGACAGAAGGATTTTAACTGCTTTATAGTCTCACCAGAGCACTGCAGAGGCAGATGTGGCTGCCAAGGTGATGCATTGGCCAGGGTGTGCCAGAAGCACAGCTGCTAGGGCTCGCAGGGGAGGGCCCGTGCTTCACTTCTCCCTGCAAAGAGACAAAGAAACGTCTTTGTATCTGAGCTTACACAATGCTGCAACAACATACAAGCCTTTACTCTGGGCAGTCACAGCCCAGGGTCTGTGACACAACACTCACACATGGGCAGGCTGGGCTGTGTGCCAGGGTGACCCCACAGCTGCAGCACTTTGTTCTGGCCACACTCTCAGCATTTGGAGGAGAGACACTCAGACTGGAGCAGAACAAGCGGGGTGCAGTGCATGAAGCTGCTCCCCAACCTGAAGGATGGACGCTTGCAGGACTGGAGAGCAAGGACTGGCTGTAGTCACATTACAGCTCATGCGCACAAGTAGGGAAGCAGCAGGCAGCTGCACACAGCTTGCTGCTGTGCTCCTCCTGAGCCCGGCCTGGCTCAGCACCTCTTGTTTTCCCAGAAGATGCAAGGAAGCTGCCATAAGCACAGCTCACATCTCCAAAGCTGCTGGGGTGCTCATACAGCCCTCTGTGGGAGCTTGAGCTGCCCAGAGGTCTCCCCTCTCCCCACACCCACTCCTGTGGTTCCTGCAGGTTTTCCTACCTCTGTGCAGACCCTCTGTCCAGTCCTGCTGCTGGGTGGGCTCCTGGTCCGGTGCAGGCAAATGCTCTCTTGGTTTTCCTCACTAGAACAGAACCAGGAGGGAAAAGTCAGTCATCCACGCTCCAAAGCTGTGCTCCCCACCTCCCAACCCAGCTCATGCTGACGGGCTCAGCCCTGTGGTGACAGGGTCTTTGCTGAGCAGGCAGGAAGAAAGCTGTTTTCCGAATCCCTCTCATCAGCACGAGAACAGAAACCTGCCCTGGGGCTACAGCTGCCTTTTTGGCTGCACTGGGAGATGCCTGCCACAACTGCAGCAGTTTAACAGCTGCAGCACACCGCACAAGTGGGTACAAATGGGCACAGCTGCACCCCTGAATTCCTGCAGGAGGTAAGGGAGGACAGTGATCAGAAAAACAGCCCTAGGATTTAGAGCTTTGTGCTACCTTGCAAGGCTGGAACGGGCCGGCCAGAGTCCTCTGCCCATCATCTCCCACCAGCTCTGGAGGCACAGCTCTTCTTCATGCAATCAGACAAGTAACCTAGCTTCAAAAACAAGAGAAGATCAAATACCTGTCAGCACCCACCCAGACTGCAGGCTGCTACTGAGTCCTCAGAGTAGATCGAAGTCCTCTAGACCAGCAGCACTCAAACTACTGCAAGGGGCGAGAAACAAACAGCATCAGAGAGCTGGAGACCCACCAGCCCTACCTCACCCAGGAGCAGGTGGGCTCAGCCTTAACTCCAGGCAGCACAAATGAGTGCTCGCTCCCAGCTATCCCCAAGACAGGCTTTGCACTAAGCATCATCTGCCCTGAATTACTGGGGAAAGAGAAGGAAGGTTTCTTAAAAGCCTTTTTGGCTCAAGCATCGATTTCATCCTTGCTTTTGCCAGCACGTTTCCTTCATGCCCCAAACATACATGTAACCAGAAACTAACTGCCAGCAAAGGGCTGCATTCACTTCTTCGTGAGCCTGCCTCTAATGGAAAGCTCCTTCCTCCCACCACTGTGGGCTCCCAGTGCCACCCACACCAGAAGGGGTGATTGAAAACCCTGGATAACATCATCTGATGCACAAAGGAGGCGAGCAGGGGAAAAACACACCACGCTGATCCTTGCTTTGGATGTGCATTTACTGTGCCTACAACTCGAGATGAGTTGTGTTTGCACTGCAGTCTTGAGGGTTTGGCAACGCAGAGCTTGGAGTGGTTGGGACAAGAGCTGCAAACAGTAATGGGTGGCTGAGCTATGGCTCCAGCATCACCTTCACCCTGGCAGAGAAAGGCCAGCACCCTTAAGCCTGCCTCCAGGGTTCAATAACCCGGGTCAGAGTATTGTGCAGACAAAAGGAAGGAAGCAGCACAGAACTGCCCTACCCCAAAGCTTTGCAAGCACTTGCTGCTTTGGAGCTGCATGATCACTGCTTTGCTTCCCTCCTTGCCCAGCTTCTGTGCTCACACCTCCTGCGGCCTGGTGAGTGCCAACACTGGGCTGCAACTCTCTAAGCTACATCAAGCTTAGAAGCCTCTATCAGGACTGGAGACCTACAGGCTTGGGACTCCAGTGATGAGACAGACAATTAATTCCCTAAATACCCCCCTTCCTTCCCCCTCCATTCCCTACAGCCTCACACGAGAGCACAGCAATCTTTCCCCTCACGTGCTTTCTTCCCTGCTGCTATTGCTGGCTTCTTGCAGCCCATTAAAGCAAGCCAAGGAGGAGTGCCAAGAGCAGGATTTCAGCAAGAGACAAAGCCTGCAGTAAGAGACCAGCCCTGGGGAAACTGTGAGGCATGCAATGGGGGGTGGAGGGGCTACCAGAGGCCTGGATGCACCCAGAACAAGCAGGTCCTATGCAGTACTAAAAGCTGTCAGAGAAACCAAAGAAATCCCAGCCAAGACTCCCATGGCATCAGAACAACATGAAAATAAAGTCACACAATGAGCTGGCCTACCAGATGCCCTCTGTGCCCTAAGGCAAACAATACAGGACTACTCAGAGCTCAGCTCCTGCTCCTACAGAAGCCATTTCTTCATGAAGAAAAGAACAAATGAATTAAAAAAGCACGATTAAACCAAGCTGTGCCCTGGAGCTCAGACCCCACTAGATGTCCCTCTCAGCCAAGGCACAAATGCTCCTGGATCATCACCAGGAGGAGGACAAGAGAAATCCAAAGGCCAAAGGGGAGGGAGCCAAGGGGAACAAGTGCAGAGAAAAAGAAGGAGCAGGCAGGGAAGGGAAACAAGAGTAGGCAGCACCAGATGGAGAAGAGAGCTAAGCAGTCCATAGCAGCTGGCTTTGCCTGCAAGGTGCTTAAATGAGGTACTGTGGGGGGGGGAAAGTGACCCATAGAGTCCCTGTGCTTGGGTTGGGCAGCTCAAGGAGTTTCCTCCAGCAGCTCACTTGATGTTTTTCCCAGCTCACCAGGCAGCTCCAAACCATTTCCCCTGGGCTGTTGTTCAAATGATTGCCTCCAAGTGGCAATGTGTCAGAGGAAACAGCCCTCCTGCTGCTCCACGTTAATAGAAACAAGCTGATAGAACCCAAAAGGAGCTTCGTTTCAATGCAGGGTGCATCTGATACAGTGGGATTTAGGTACTATTTGGAAGGAAGAATGGGCTCACACTGTCATCCTCTGCATGGCACAGCACAGCACTTAAACCTACCGCAGCCCAACAGCAGATCTGACACAACGTGCATCAACACAAGCTGGAAGCTACTTAAGCTCCGCTCTGAACCAAAGGAAAACATCCCACACAATTTCTTGTAAAACCTATTTACACAGCCTGGCTGTTCCATGGGCATGCACAGCAAGAAGGCCATCCTTTAAGATGAATAACCTCAACCCACTCAGCAGCATTTCTACTATACAGTTACTCACCTGTGGATGGCTGTAGCTTCACTGCACTTCACAAATACCTCAGTCCTCCTCAGTTTCTGTGATCGGCAGCTCCAACCCAGCTGATGCTCCTGGACTGGGGCTCCTCAGATCACGGGTGCGCTGGGCAGAATAGGTCTCACCTCCTGTAGCACAAGCGTGAGAGCAAGAGGAAGATACCTTTCATGCCCTCCAGCCTTTGGGGAATGTCAAGTGACACCGCTGACAGACGTGGCAGAAGCTACAGAGTTCACGGGAAGCGCCTGATGGAACACGCGCATCCCAGCTGCCTGGCACAGTTGGCAGCCATCTCAGGAGATGGATCATCTCATCCCAGGGCTGAGACAGCAAACCAGGGACAGAGGTGAGCTGCCCAGATTTAGAAGCAGACTGACAGGAAGGCAAGAGCTGAACGCTCTGTGGGAGGGCTTTCCAGCAGCTGCCGCTCAACACAGAGCAGACAGCAAACCTCCTGCACAGCAAACCAGAGCTCACACCTAATCTAACGCTACCCCTCTCAGAGCTCACAGTGGGAAATAAAAACGACAGCAGTTTTATAAATAAAAGAGCTTGCTGTCACCCACAGGGAACATGAGATGCTTTGGCAGAAGCAGGTCTTGCAGTCACCTTGTTTTAACTTCAGTCAGCCACTGTTCTGAGATGGCGGCTTGGGCTGCCTCCAAAAAGAGGGGTCACTTGCTGTATGTTGATGACCCTAAAAAACAAACAAACAACACCACCACATCAACCAGGAGTAGAGTCAGATGCCCATTTTGAAGCTGGACAATTCTTCTGGTCCAGCTCTACACACCC